AATTATATCTGTAATTAATTTCTATTATTAAATATAATTTTATTTCATTAATGATTTATTATTATTTTTTATTTAAATTATAATATATAATATAATATATAATCTTTATATTTTTATTACATTTATTTTATGGTTTTTTCTAATGTAACAAATAAAAATTGATGTAAAATAATTTAAATTATATTAAATTATTATATATTATATTTTTTATTTTTAAAATTTTTTATATTATGATTTTATTTTTCACCATATTTAATTAAAAAATAATTAATTAATTATCATTATCATTATTGTATATTTTAAAATATGGTAATCATAAATCAAAAGTAAAAAAAAAATGATAAATATGATAATCATAGCAAGATTTGATAAATTTTCATAGCAAGTTATTAGATCTTCTATTGCTAAAATATATGTAAAATATATTATAATTTTTTACAGATTCGATTTAAAATACATATATATTAAATATTGTAAACAAATCAAATCATTGGACACATACATTTTTTAAATAAAACAAAATGAAATATTTGATATGTATGTATATTTTGATCAAAAAATTATGTCAAATTTACTATAGACAATATCATGCATTTACAATATTTAATAATAGCAATTAATAAATAATAATTTCTTCAAACTGATATACATGTTCTAAGAATAATACAATAACTTTAGTATTAAACGAGTATAAAAATTAAGTACATATCATGATAGTATGTTTCAATTTTCACCTTCATTTGACATTAGACTATATACATAAATCTATATTTATTGTAAACATCATAAAATGTTTTAAAAATAAATTTAATTGAAAATTGCAATATATTGATATAAAAAATTTGTAATGAACAAATAAATTTATTTTTTTATAAAATATTGTTTAATTTTTATATTGAAATCTTTCATAGTTAAATATATTTCCATATATTTAAAAATATTAAGCATATAATCATAAAATAAGAATGTATATATATGATGTTTATTTTTACATTTAAATGGACAAAATATAGGTAGCATTATTTTTTTATATTTTTCATTGGTATTACTACTCATGGTTATTTGGTTAGATAATTAGAGAATTTTTCTCTAAAATTTAAATTAAAATTTAGTATAATTGTATTTACTTAAATATACAAATTATAATTTACATACAATTAGAATACTTTTTCCAAAATACACCAAAAATAACAATACCAATTACATAATTAATTAAGTAATAAGATATTTAGTTAAATAGGCCTCAAAAAATTGATTTATATGTTTTTATATATTCGTCATTTCATACATTGATACATACATATACATGGTGTCACTTTAGGTAGTCAAGTGTAAATCATATCTTTGACAAATCACTTTGATTTATATATATATATATATATAATAAATATATATATATATTAAATGTAATTCATTATTAAATTAAATCAGATCAGTGCACAATACATACAATATACAATGTGAACAAATACAAAATATTAAATATAAGTGCCTATCCTTTCCCGCTTGATCAATATCCAATTTGTAATCAATTTGTTCCTCGAATTTTTAACATATTATAACTAAAATTATAAAACTTTAAATATATAGATAATATAGATAAATAAAAATTTAATATAGAAATGTATTGATAAAATATTATTTATTTCTTTCTAACACATTAAAAATAAAATTATCTGTATATGCTAAAAGCTTCAACTATTTTATGAATGCAACTAAAAATCTAACATTACTATATTGCTATACAAATGAATTAAGTATACAAAGCATATGAGAAACATTATTTAAAACTAATAAATTTACATTAGCCAGAATCTGTAAATTAAAACTTTATTAGGTTTCATGATTTAAGCAATATATGTAACATTTTCCCTTATAATATTCCTATTTAATGTATGTATATGTTTTTTTTTTTAAATAATAAATACATCAATAGAGTCACTTGTTACCTCATGATGCGACACACGCAAAAAATATACAAAGTAATTGGTTGAGAATAAAATGAGGAGCAGGAGTAAAAAGATTAATTTAAATTGGAGAAGGATGAAGCGGTGGACAGGCAACCCCCAGCCCCTAGCAGCACCCACCACCTTGCGTATTTCCTTGACCACCAGTACCTGCTAATCCACTAGGACTTGTTGGTGAATGTTGTGGCCCAATCTTGATGCCATTTGCCTAAATATATTTTAAATTTGTTTAATAATAATAATAATAAGTAAAAATATAATATAATAATAATGATTTAGTTTTTAACTGTAATTTTGATTTTACCTCATTATTTATGTCAAATACACCTTCCTGAATTTTTTCATAAATTACTTTTGCTGTATTAATAAATGCATCTTCTACATTAATTGCTGTTTTGGCACTAGTTTCCATAAAAACAAGTCCATGTTCTCTTGCAAAAGCTTCACCTTCTTCTCTTCGTACTTCTCTTCTATTATCCAGATCACTTTTATTACCAATTAACATAATTACCATATTAGAATTCGAATGTTGTCTTGCATCTTCTAACCAAGTAGTCAAATGATTAAATGTTTCTCTACGTGTAATATCATATACTAATAAAGCTCCTGCTGCTCCACGATAATATGATCGTGTAATAGAACGAAATGCTTCTTGACCTGCCTATAAATTGAATTTACTTAAATTAGTAATTATAGTTTCTTATAAAAATTATAAAAATTAAAAAATTCATTATTATATTAATTTATAAAAACTTAATATTATATAGATGTTATTTATATTTTTTACAATTTACTTAAAAAAATAAATAATTACAGTATCCCAAATTTGAAGTTTGATTGGTTTTCCATCAATTGTAATCATACGAGCACCAAATTCAACACCTATTGTTAAATCATGAACAGGCTGGAATCTCTTATCAGTAAATTGTAGAAGTAGACAAGATTTTCCAACTCCTATTTAAAAAAAAAAATAATTCTTATAATAAATAATTGATATAAATTGATCATGTTTTTATAAAATTAAAATAAATAAATAACAATAAATGTAAATAATATACATATGCTATGAATTGTTTGAATACAAATACATAATTAAATTTTATATAAAATATATTTATTTATAGCTGAAGATTTATTTTACATTAAAACAAAAGGATACATTATATTATTCAAAGATATATTACATTTATAAAATTTATAATATAAAAGTAAACAAGTCAATAACAATGTCATACAAATATTTAAAACAAGTTCAATTATAATATCTAATCTCAATTTTAAATAATATTGTGTTTATTCTACAATAGATCAGTTCTAAATAAAAAAATAAAACACTTTTTAAGTTGATAAAATTATTATATGAAAGTAATTGTGTGTATAAATGATATATCAAATCATACATTGAGTTCGTATTAAATGTTAATATAAAGCATATACATTGTAATCTATAGGAATGCTATAAAGATTTACGAATCACAAATATTATCGTTCAAAGAAACGAAAACAATGGGCCCTGTCACGGTCGACGTAGTGTAGAATGTAAAAATCATTTAACATTTGCTTTTGTGAAAACATTAGATAATTACCTGTATCTCCAATGATGATGTACTTGAAAAGGTATGCGTACGACATTTTTTGAAATCACGTAGCAAACAAAGATATCTACACAAAATGCGGATATATTAGAAAACAGAACTTCACTTTTTTGACTGTCTTATCTCTTCTGCTTCAGCATGACGTCACTGAATCGCTTCGGCAATTCTCGGGATTTTCCGTATTATTCGTAATAACTTCGGATTTCCGATATCGCGCTGCCGTCGCTTCAGTCATTGACGTATTGTAAGCATTGGCTGTGTTCCAAAACCATGGCACTTTTTAACTTAATACTATATATATATAGATTAAATTATATATAATATGATTATAATATTACAAAATATAATTGTTAGTTGAATATAAAATGATATTTATGTTACAGTAATTAATATTTATGTTACTCTATTATAAATATTTTTTACATATTGTTTTAATGTATTTTATATTTTATATTTTTAGTTATATTAACAAATATTATTAAATATTATAAATAATTTCTTTCTTTTATTATTATTTCTATGGATAAAAAAAATAATATAGAATATAATAAATTCATAATAAATTAAAAACAATTTTAAAACAAAATAAGATAAATATATAAAAAAATAATTTATATTGATAAAAAAAAATAATTAAATTTTTTTAATTTAATATTATTAATATTAATAAGTATGCAATTGTGTTAAAACGTTAATTGTTTCTTTCAATAAATACAAGTATTTGCAAGCAAATAAAATAAGAAGGGAAACAAATAATAAAGAACAGACTTCAGATGATGTTATCGGTCAACAAAACTGTTG